TGGTGGTAGGTTTGCGTCGACGTTGTTGGGTACATTGGAGGGAATGTTGTACGCAGCCATCAATCGCGTGCTGATGAGCAAGATGCACGGAACCCGACCGGACAGGCGCAAGTCGTACCGTATCTGTACATAATCATCGGTATTCTCCAACTATAATATTTTCATCTTTGCACTTACGCGGAGTTTGCCGTCGTGTCCCTTAGGACAGTCAATTTCAACAGTCATATCCTTTCGAAAACCGTCATAATTATCGTTTAGCTGCATGATACGAAGGAAATGCCTCCTGTCGGCAGTAATCCAGCCATAAACGATATAGTCTCCTGACGCTGCATAGTTCCGCACAAACACATTTGTGCGAAAAATGAGAGGTATCGTGATTGAGGGTATCTTTGTATTTAAATGCACAATTCCGAAGGCATTAGATCTAGTTGGAATTCGTGAATACGGCGAATTAGGACCCGAAGGATACACCGCACCCGTCATTACACTTGGTTCGTAGTAATATGAGATTGTCACCACGAGATGATCTATACGGACCGTCTTGGTCAAGGAAGGGGAGCCAGCACATCTCGCTCTGAAAGGTCGTGGATACAGCAGGGAATCCAGCTCCCGTGCTTGGTTTCACTAAGCATAAGTTGGAGTGTCGAGAAGGGTTGAGATTTCGACAATGGAAAAGTAACACTAGCCATGTCCCACCCGGAAGAAATTTGAGACCTTGAAATACACCAGGGAAATCCAGCGGAAACGTGTAAAGACGCTTAGGGACGATGCTAGACTGTGTCCATAGGTGGTCCAGTCGGGCAGCGGTTTTCAGCTGGTGACGAATGTCTTCCGCAGTACATGAACGCAGATGGGGGTAACACTGGTCAAGAAAACGATGCTGAAAGAGGACGTCACGCCAGACATGTCGTAATGAAGCAAATTCGTGTAATGTTTGGCATGTCTGTGAATGAGGTATAAATTTTAGGGGGGTTCAAGAAAGAGTAGTAATCTGTCGCAGACTTACACTTCCAAGTCTCACGATGTCCAGGACGGAAAGATACTTCATAATCACGAGCCATACGTCGACCACGAACTTGGAAGGGCTGTGGACACCATGTTGGCCATGTTGGCTGGCTGGTACTACAAACATGGGTATCCAAATCAGCGTTGGTGAGTAAAGAACTCGAAATTGTGGAACACATGGTCCTGCTGGTCATTTTCAGGCTTATGCATTGCCTGAGCAGTTGGGTAGTTAACGATCACGACATATGGCGTCACAGGTCACCAGGTGACAGGTCTAATTCATGCTTTATTACATAATACTTGCAACTTCACTAAATTACTACTACACAGTACTGCTTCTGCCAGTGTTCTTTCATGAGAGATCGACGCACTAGTTGACACTTTAGTGAGTCTGTCTGCGTGCAGCCGTTGTTTCTAATCACATAGCAACTAATTTGCAGCTGTGTTGCAGGTTGCGACTGGCCGCTGATAGACTCGGAGATGTCGACTACTGACCAAACATCAAGTACTAATTTACTTCCACCTCAAGTTTTTGTCCGTACCTTGGAGTAATGACCTCCATTATTTGATGAATGGATTTGAACAGCCTGTATCAAGTAAGTCGTCTATCAGTGTTCATTCTTAATGTGACATAAGTAGTTATCTGTATGCGTAACCACTAGCCAGTGTCCCTGTGACCAGGCGGATATTCAATCGTCTCCGTTGTCAACCACATAATCCGAACAATCCATTGTCCTGTATATCCTTGATAAGACAATTGTTATCATGTCATCAGATGTCTACTGTACCATCACGGGATAGACCCTGAGAGACCATACGGGCTCTTCTCAGGCCATAGGCTGTCAACGTGTTGTTGATGAGCCCGGCATCGGTGATGGAATACACCTCCTGTGGACACGTAGCCCCTTTAGCATGAGGCGCTTTTGCAGGGTCAAGTTCAAGTATTGGTCTTAACCTGTAAGCCCAACACTTGCTGGTGCATAGCGTTTTACTCCCATTTACTTCAATCTCGATGAAGTCCGCAATCCATAATACGTTCTCGACGAACAAGAAAGAAGATGATCTGGAAGAGCTAGAACATATGCCGGCATCTAATTCCCAAACAGAAGCAAGCCCTCCGGATGGTGGGTTTCAGGCCTGGGGGACTGTCTTTGGGTGGTAAGCCGTGTTTCGAATGATTCCCGCATATTGCGTCTAACAATCACGATATGCCTAGTTTCCTCATGCAATTTTGTGGCTTTGGGTTGGTTCGAATTCCGTTCGTTTCAAGACACGTATCAGTCAACAGCATTTGAACAGATACATATCATCTTTTGGAGTTTATCAAGGTACCCATCAGTCGCATGATACTTTACATACAAAGTTGATGAACGACCTCGGAAGATTATTACACACGAGTTTATATGACCAATTATCCACCATCTGCAATATCGTAAGTGAATGTGTTTGCTCTGCGGTTCTTAGTCTCACTTAGTATCAGATGGATTGGTGCATTGACCTCGTTCCTCACAGTCAATGTCACGTTGATCTCAGGTCCACTTTATGACCGAGGGTGGTTGTGAGTTGCTATATCTTTATACATAGTCAATCGTTAATTCCTGCACAAATCACGGATAGCTATCGATTGATGATCGTGGGGTCGCTGCTCCAATCACTGTCCTTGTTCGCTTTGTCCTTCACGAAGCCTGGTCAATTCTACTTGGTGAGCAGCCCCACCAATTTTGTGATGGGCTACCTATACGTTGCGACCAGGCTTTTATGGTTCAAGGCGTCATTTCTGGGTTTGGGATGGGCCTAACGTATGCTCCCAGCATTGCGGTCGTTTCTCAACACTTCTCTTCTAGAAAACGTACATTAGTGATGTCTCTCGTCACATCTGGTACACCACTTGGTTCCATGATTCATCCGATCATGCTCAATAACCTTTTGAATGGTACTGTTGGCTTTGCAAAAGGCGTTCGCGCTAGTGCGGGTTTTGTCAGTGCTTTGTTGTTGATCGCTTGTTTATCCGTGCGTACAAGGGAACTGTCAGCACCGACTGTCGGTTATAATGTAGTGGCGCGAAAATGCTCTCGCGAGGTTCTCTTCATCCTCATGACTGTTGGGTATGTGTCTGGCATACCCCAAAAAATTCACAGTCTTGACAACTGATCACGCCTAGGTCAACACTATTTCAGATTGGGTTTTACTTCCCTCTGTTTTACTTGCAACTGGATTCTACCAAACATGGACTTGACATCAATTTCTCGTTCTACTCCGTACGCCCAGGAATATCCTCTTTGTTATCAATCCTTGACTCGCTTTAGCTTGTGATAATGAACGCAGCCTGTTTTATCGGACGCTGCATGACAGGAATGGTTGCGCCATATGCGGGGGTGTTGAACTCCACGATCGCATCCACTGTCGCATGCAGTGCCATCATAATATCCATGATAGCTCTGAGTGATATGGCCAGTGTGGTCGTCTTAGGACTTGCATATGGTTACTTTTCTGGAGTTTGTATGTTGTCACGCTGCAGCTTGTGTAATTCCTGGCGCTGACTTTCCAAGTCATCGCGCTGATAGTCCCATTGGTGGCTGTATTGACGCCTGATTTATCTGAGCTAGGGTTGGCTTCTCTTACATTTGCATTCTGGTGATGCTGACCCTCATAAATGCAGAGCGCGAATGGGCATATGTTTTGCCTTCACTTGTACGTATCATCTAGCTCTGTCTCGAAACTCCTGACAGAGCGTGAATGGTCAGCCTTTGGTGGATTACTTGGTGAGTAAGTTGCCTTCCGGTCTTTACCTGCCATTGAACCAATCTTTTCAGGCGGCCCAATATCAGGTGCTTTGGTCGGTTCTCAATATAAGTGGTGGATAGCGTCACTCTTCAGTGGGGTCAGTAGTTCACATTGTTTCTGCACTTGCGCGAGCCCTATGCTAAAATTTACATCCAGTTGGTCTCCCTCGTCGGAAGTTTGATATTTGTAGTGATGCGCCTGATTATATACCACCGAGGAATAAACGGGAGCCCGTCCATGGCTGGCGGGGATACGTGAACTAGTTTTCCCATTGGATTCTATCGTGGCCGTTATTCACTCGTGCTAGATGATTGGAAACTTGCTATGACCTTCGGTCGTTTCTTTTTATTGGCACACTTATGTCATTCCATTACAAAAGCAGATATTCGTACCGCTATCTTTCTCCTTATTTACTCCTGAAGATAAGCACACATGGGACAATACAGTATACACACGACAATGAGCGAAAAAACCACTTCCGAGATCTAGAACTGTGCGAAAGAACGTGAAGACCTTGGCAGCCATTTGAAGGTAGTTGTGTAAACTAGTCTCAAAGGAAATCGTTTGCAATCGACCGTCGAACTCGAGCAGCAGGGATGAAGAGAAAGCGTGATACACGGAATACAGTGGTTCTCAAGATTGTTGGACTGAGCAGTTGGACTTCAACAAATCGAAGATGTAGAGCTGTTATCCGTGCACAATCCCCTTTCAACCTAGAAGTTGTGTTGTATGGCGCATATACAATTTATTTTGATGTCCAGTCGACGAGGAATTTCTGGCACAGTAAGCATCACTGAAGTAGTTTGGTGTTTTCTCAGGTGCGCTAAAATAGGTGTGATCCTCACGGAAGCTGTATTAGCGCCAGAGGTAAAACCGCCAACAGCTAAGTTGCCTTCGGGCAGGGTAATGGAACCGTTATATTGATTATGTTTACTCTGATATCGATACCTCGACGGATTTTTTGAAAGAGCAACTGTGACAGGTGAAAAGGAAGGGAGAGGAGGGCACGCAAATGGCTTGTTGGACTTGGGGCTCCATCAAGCCAGGAGAATCTGCTATGGACCTGATATGCTTTGGCTTGTGCAGCGGATTTGTCCGTACCTTAAGGAGGTGCTGCAGCTTGTTGTTATGATTCAAGGTTGCAGCGTTGAAGGTCCGCTAAGCCACTTCTCACTCTTCCTTCCCTTCCAGCACTGTATGGCGACAACATGTACTTTTCATGAATTGGTTAGTATTCAAAATGCATCTAGGTACCAAGTATAATCAGGGATTTACTGTAAACAGAATGAAGGAATTAGTATATAATGGGCAGTCGAAGAGTAGCGTGACGATGCGCAGTGGCAGCGTGGTAAGTGTGTAACCGGAACCGTGACAGCCTGAGTGTCTGTTATAAATGGGTGGAAATGCAACTCTACTCACGACATACAGGATCGATGACTACGGTAACGCTCTTCATCAACTTCATATGCGGCTACTGACCGTTCATCCCCGTGTTTAGCGATATGCTAGGATTGCGCGATGTAGCAAAAAAAGTGTATCTTACTGCGAGAAGGCGCCAGCCTCCGGCACAGACAACCCAGCCTGAACTAATAGAAACGGTGCGAGCGCACACGAGCTCAGTGGAGGCACTCGCGTTCTTCAAAGACGGCCGACGGATCGTCACTGCTTCAATGGATAAAACATTGCGAATCTGGGACGTGGAGAAAAGAGCATTTATAGGATGGCCATTCAAGGGACACAGGGACATTGTGATGTCAGTTACTGTATCGCCAGACGATAGGCGAATCGCCAGCAGTGGAGAAGATAATACCATCATCATTTGGGATGTCGAAAGCAAGCAAATGGTATTCAAACCGCTGGTGGAGCATACACGCCGTGTGTCCTCGGTGTGTTTCTCCCCTGATGGAGAGAGACTTGCAAGTGGGTCATGGGATGATAGAGTTATTATAAGGGATGCAGAGACTGGCGCTGTCCTCTCAACACTCAAGGGTCAGGGTTCGCACGTTTTGTGTGTCGCCTTCAGCCCGGACGGGCTAAAATTAGCATGCGGCGGATCCCGTGGTAACATTTGGGTTTGGTGCACCGATAACGCCGAGCTTCTGTTCAAAATCGACGCTCATGGGGATTGGGTTAACAGCGTTGTGTGGTCGCCTGACGGCCAGCAACTTGTCTCCGCATCAGATGACAAAACAATCAAGTTTTGGGACTCCTCGAATGGTTTCCAGATCGGTCTACCTTGTACTGGTCACACTGGGATAATTTACTCCCTGGCCATCTCTTCTGATGATTCATTCATTGCCACTGCCTCGCACGATACGACTGTACGCTTATGGAGTACAAAGTCACACCTCCAGATAGGACAGGCCTTCAAACACACTACATATGTTGACTGCGTCACAATTTCTCCTAGTGGAGAACTACTTGCGAGTGGAGACTGTGATGGGAATATTTGGCTCTGGTCGATCGAGAACATACTTTCTGCAACATTCGGGCTGGATTCCTTACACCATTCCTATTTTGCACATCGCAGTAAGAGGAAGCTTGGACGACAGCTCTATGTGGAGGCCCTTTCAGACGCGAACAAGGTGCGGACGATATCTATCTTTGTTTGAACATTTGTGACGATGTTTGTAGGTTATTGAGCTCAACCCTTCGTCTTATCTCGGGTACGAACTGAAGTACGCGGCTCTTCGTGGAGCACGACACTATGATGATGCGTTTAAGGCCTTCAAGATAATGCTTTCCATGTTGGATGATGCACCCGACCCGCATATACGACGTAAGCTCAAAACAACTCAGGTGCCAACATAAAGATGATATATATATTTGCAGAGCTCCGCCAAAAATACGTCAGTCCATCTGAAGTAGAGGATGCTATTCGACGAGCCATTCACGCCCAACTGGAAAACGCCCCCCTTCGGCTAATCGACACTTCTACTGGACGTTTGTGCAATCGAGATGTGCAAACCAACATATTCATTGAAAGTACAGGGTACAAAAAACTTTTACATTCATCTGACATGCATGCGCCCCTCAAAACGGAGCCCGTCGAAGAAGCGGTCACGAAGTACTTCAGTTGGGTCATGTTATCCCATAGGTGGGAAAGGAAGGAGCCACTACTGCACGACATTCAGGACAAGGTCATATATGAGTTGGATCCGGTCGGAACCATGGTGAAGTTGCAGAAGTTCTGCAAAGTCGCTCGCGAGGCGGGCTATCGCTGGGCATGGAGCGACACATGCTGCATCGACCAGGACAACAATGTTGAGCTCCAGCAATCAGTCAACTCCATGTTCGTCTGGTATCATCACTCAGCGCTCACTATCATCTACCTATCAGATGTTCCTCCTTCGTCAAAGTCAGGCGCCCTTGCAAACAGCATTTGGAACACGCGAGGATGGACTGTTCAGGAGTTTCTCGCTCCTAAAATTGTTCTCTTCTACCAAGCAGATTGGAGCCTATATCTCGGCATCCTCTCACGCAATCACAAGCAATCTTTCAGAATCATGGATGAGTTGGAGCGTTCAACTGGCATAGATGCGCGGGCGCTCATCCACTTCCATCCTGGGACAAAAGATGCCCGAGAGAAACTCCGATGGGCGTCGAACCGAGACACCACGAGGGAGGAAGACATCGCCTACTCTTTGTTTGGCATCTTTGATGTCAACCTTCCTGTTATCTATGGAGAAAAAAGACAAAAGGCGCTTGGACGACTCTTACAGGAGATTATAGCCCATTCGGGCGACATCACGGCCCTGGACTGGGTGGGACAATCGTCCAACTTCAACAGTTGTCTCCCGGCCGATATTTCCTCATACAAGGCTCTGCCATGCATGCTATCATCTCTATCTGAACATGACATACAGGAGTCAGTCTTCGCGCTGCGAAACGACATTGTGGTTGTGGAGTCGGCTTCAAAACTGTATGCCACTCTGGAGAATCTCAGCGTTCCTCGTTTCGCAAATGCCAGACTGCAATTGCCTTGCATCGCATTTACTCTCACAGAAGTCAGGCGGAGGCCTGGTCAAGATGGGGCTAGATGTTTCGCTTATGACATCAAGGCAAACGGCCTACAAGACCTGCTGGTCACGACGAAAGACAAACTAGTTGAATTCTGGCCTGCAAGGCGTACTCGGCAGACATTCATGCTCGTCCGTCCGTGGAATCGGTATGATCTCGGGCTGATTAACTTTTCAGACGAGACGCAGACCATAGAAGATTGGCCCGAGCCTGGGTTTCCTGGATACAACGAGTCGACTACGCAAGAGTTGAGGCTGATTGTTCGCCTTGGACAGCCTTTTGGCGCACTTTTGCTAGCGCAGCAGTGGGGTGGGGAGTATAAGAGAATCGCTTCGGATAACAATATCATTGCACAAGTCAGAGACATGGCTTCTGTTGATGACATGATGGACGTCAGGATGGTGGAGATATTGTAGCTTCGAAGAATCAGACGTTTTCATTCCACACCTTGACAGTACCTCTAGAATTTCGAATTGTATCGGTCTCGGTCTCGAAATCGTGTCACATATTGTCTTGTATATGTTTTACTAAGCTGATACTAGCGTATAAGAGATGGTCTTGTGGTATGGGTCTTCCGGGCAGACGAGCACTTTGCAATGCAAGTTGAGTCGACGAAGACAGGAAAAGCTCGATTCGTCGACAAATTTCCAGTCCAAAAAAGGTCGTCGGACCGGCAATCAAGTGTGTGCCGTGACCCGAGTTGACATGTCAGTGAGTCTGGGATCCTTGCGTGAAGCCGTCGTTTACGTCTCTGACCAAGCAGCAACTGTAACTTGCAGCGTTAGGGTGCCATTGCGGGTTGCGACAGCTGATAGGTGACCAATTGGGAGGGGTCTCCGTGACCAGACCGTACCGTTTACTTCTATCGTTCGTAGCCCTTGAAGTAATGGCCTACAGTCAAGGATACCAGAATTCGACTAGCAAACCGTCTCGAAGGTCATCATAATCTGAGCATCATCCGAGTCCCTTTTCCTTTCAAGAACGGACGTACACCATACCTGCCTCTGTATCCCGTGGCAGTTTTTGTGAACAGATTTACATCTGCTAGGGGAGCATGCTACCACCCGATGACATTTCCAGGGCCAAATCCCTGTGGATGCAGAGATGTCGACGCGCATCGAGCGGCTTCAAAGTTCCATCGTGTGATATCGAACAGTACTTCGACTCTGATAAAAAGAAATGATCAGCCAGTGTCAAGTCTGCGCAGACCCCACAGACTCGGATATCCGCAGGAGGTTCCGTCGAGTGCCAAAGGTGGTTTCTTTACTTTTGTCGACATCTCCCGCCATATTCCATCACCTCTTTCATGTTGCACGCTGTCTCTCTTCGGATATTCTGTAAATCCTTCCTCAAACAATCTCTGCAATAAGTAAGTTTTCTTTCCGTGTTTGTTCTTAGTGTAGCTCTAAGTAGTCATTTGCATGCGTAGCCACTGTCCATGTGACAAAGTGGATGCTCAATCGCCTCCGCTGTCAACCACACAATCCGAACAATTTGCTGTCCTAATAAGACAGTTGACATCATGTCACCGTGTGTCTACCACCACGGGGATAGGCCCTGACAAACCCTACGTGTTCGTCTATGGGCACATTCGATCGCCGTCAAGGTTTTGCCGACGTCCCGTCAGTGGTGTAATGCGCCCCCTACCTCGTAGCCCCTTTATCACGAGGCGTCCTTGCAGGGTTAGGATTAAATACTGGTCTTAATCTGTAAGCCTCACATTTGCTGGTGCATAGAGTTTGGCCCCATTCACTTCCATGTCAAAGAAGTCCGCAATCCATGATATGTTTACGAAGGACAAGAAAGAAGATGATCCAGAAGAGCTAGAACAAGAATCAGGCCCTCCGAATGGCGGGTTTCGGGCCTGGAGGACTGTTTTTGGGTGGTAAGTCGTGTCTCAAATGATACCCGCATGCTGTGTCTAACAATCACGACGATGCCTAGTTTCCTCATGCAATTTTGTGGCTTTGGGTTGGTTCTAGCTCCATTCGTTCGAGACACATCATTCAACAGCACTTCAACAGATACATATCGTCTTTCGGAGTTTACCAAGGTACCCACCAGTCGCATGATACTCTATCCAAAGTTGATAAACGACCTCGGAAGATTATTACACACGAGTTTATATGACCAACTATTCACCATCTGCAATATCGTAAGTGAATGTGCGTTTGCTCTGCAGTTTTTGGTCTCACTCGGTGTCAGATGGATTGGTGCATTGACCTCGTTCCTCGCAGTCATTGTCGCGTCGATCTCAGGTCCGCTGTACGACCGAGGGTGGTTGTGAGTTGCTATATCTTTAATCAGAGTCAGTCGTTAATTCCTGCACAAATTACGAATAGTTATCGATTGATGATCGTGGGATCGCTGCTCCAGTCACTGTCCTTGTTCACCTTGTCCTTCACGAAGCCTGGTCAGTTTTACTTCGTGAGTAGCCCCACCAATCTTGTCGATGGTCTACCTATACATTGCGACCAGGCTTTTATGGTTCAAGGCGTCATTTATGGGTTTGGGATAGGCTTAACGTATGCTCCCAGTGTCGCGGTCGTCTCTCAACACTTCTCCTCCAGAAAACGCACATTGGTGATGTCTCTCGTCACGTCTGGTTCACCACTGGGTGGAATTATTCATCCGATCATGCTCAATCACCTTTTGAATGGTACTGTTGGCTTTGCAAAAGGCGTTCGTGCCAGTGCAGGTTTTGTCAGTGCTCTGTTATTGATCGCCTGTTTATCCATGCGTACAAGAGAACTGCCGGTATCGACTGTTAGTCATACTGTAGTAGCGCGAAAATGCTCTCGCGATGTTCTCTTCATCCTCATGGCGGCTGGGTATGTTGTATCTGGTATACCCCAAAGGGATGCACAGCTGATCATGCATAGGGGAACACTGTTCCAGATCGGGTTTTACTTCCCTCTGTTTTACTTGCAACTGGATTCTACCAAACATGGAATTGACGTCAATTTCTCATTCTACTCCGTACGCCCAGCATCATTCTCTTTATTGTCAATTCTCAACTCGCTTTAGCTTTCGATCTTAAGTGCTGCTTCATTTATCGGACGTTGCACGGCAGGAATCATTGCGGCGTATGCGGGAGTGTTAAACTTCACGATCACATCCACTGTCGCATGCAGTGTCATCATAATATCCATGATAGCTCTGAGTGACATGGCTAGTGTGGTCGTCTTAGGACTTGCATTTGGCTACTTCTCTGGAGTCTGTATGTGTCACTCTGCAGCTCGTGTAATTCTTGGCACTGACTTTTCAAGACATCGCGCTGTTAGTCCCATTGATGACTGTACTGACGCCTGATTTGTCTGAGCTAGGGTTGGCTTCTCTTACATTTTCATTCCAGTGATGTTGACCCTCATATGCAGAGCGCGAATAGGCATATGTTTTACCTTCACTTGTACGTATCATCTAGCTCTGTCTCGGAACTTTTGACAATGCGCGAATGGCCAGCCTTTGGTGCATTACTTGGTGAGTAGTTACTTTCCGGTCTTCGCCTGCCTTTGAACCAATGTTTTCAGGTGGCCCAATATCGGGCGATTTTCTCGGTTCTCAATATAAGTGGTGGATAGCGTCGCTCTTCAGTGGGGTCAGTAGTTCACGTTGTTTCTGCACTTGTGCGAGCCCTGTGCTGAAATGTGCATCTAGTTGATCTCCTTCATGGGAAGTTTGATCTTCGTGGTAATGCGTCTGATTATATACCGCCGAGGAATAAACGGGAGCCCATAGCTAGCGGGGATACGTGAAATAGTTGTTTCGTTTGGATTTCTGTCGAGGCCGGCGTTCGCTTGTGCTGTTATTGGAGATGTGTGTATGAAATGTTAGTGTATTGAACGCGTGTGCAGAAGCACGAATATTATTGGACTGATCTATCACCAACCCCCGGCTGTAGGTTGAACGGACAACAGCGGACAACGTCAAGTCTCTGATTCGCAAATGCTTCCATGGTGATGAACTCATTGATAACCGACGTGCTCCGCTTTCATGCCAACATAAAGAAACAGGACTAGATTGAGTTCATCTCCATAGTGTAAACGATCATCAAGCATCGCTTACTTCTTATCTCCAACAGTCCTTTATCCTCAGACGAAAAACCTTATGACAGGGTCAGATGGGTTATCTCAAAGGAAATGACCGGTGAGCACCAACGCCGAATATTACTCAACTTTTCGCGTCATTAGGTAAGTCGTTGGTGTTTACTTCTAGTGCGGCTTATCATCCGATTCATTCCGTATGCGTAATAATCAGTGGAACAGAGGTGAGCCGCCATCATGTGGCACGACGCCACGCACGTCGAGCAAGGTTTTGAATATCGCTGGCGTAGTGGCCTAAAACGGAAAGAATGTTATCTGGAAAGCTTGTTTTCGGGGGCGTAAAACCAAAAATTCACCGGAAATGAACAATGTCATCGCGGCACGTCCCCCTAATGTGGCAAAATAGGAATCCGTTCAACGTTTTTTCCCTGCGGAAAGTCATCCAGCCAAGGTCAACCCCGGTGTCAATCACGCAAGCCAAATAGTTGACTAAATTTCCCTGACGAGGCGACTTTTATCATGTCATTAGGTATCCATCCTCCGATCACAAGGGCGTGAGCCCTATGAGACCCTGCAGCCCAAGATTCTTATAAGTATATGGTATCCATCGAGATGACTCGCTAACACCTGTCAGCGATGTAATGCCAAGCAGTCCCTTTAGTATGAGGTTGCAGGGCATCCTGGCAGGGTCAAGGTGTCAGCGCTGTCAGCGTCCAAGCGCGGCATCACTGACTAGACCACATGCTTGTGACTCACTGCAAGCTACATCCAGCCGCATCTCTGAGAATATATTCCTATAAGCACTATAGGGAGACAGGTTGGCGGCGGTTTTAACGAGCAGACGAAAGCTTTAGGGGGATATCGCTACCGAGCTAGTCCAAGATTGCTCGTCTTGCCAGTATTCTTCTACCTTCGCCTATATTTGGAAAGAGTAGATAAATGATACGTGGATAACTAACTTTAGGCGAGTCTAGACTAATGTTGCTGCCATCCGGTGGAGCCGAACCACGGTTCGTTCCATCCAGAGGTGGCTAGTTGCACCCCAGATTATGGGGATGAATTTATTGTGTATAGCCGCTAAAAATCGTTCCGTCAGTTACAGACTTGAAATAATATGTAATTGGCGTGCTTGCGAGGACGTCAATCGAGGAATGCATATGCTCCAATTGTGAACCTATAGGATCAAAACGCGGCGTCGTTATCCTCGGGGTGCCGCCATGCTGTGAAGTGATTCGTTATGTGCATATAGGCGTGAGGCGATCACCGGTGGTACAGGTAAAAATGCAGGAGGGATACGCAATGAAGTAATAATTGGAGGCATGGGGGCCTTAAGTGCAGCAGAACTCCGGTTCACGAGAGTGAGAGAGGTGTCGATACCGCCGACAATGGCAATATTCCTTCTCAAAGTAGACCCGGACGAGTCACGACACGGTTAATGATTTCCCGTTCAGTCTTCCCAGGTCTTCCCTCATTCTCTTTCTTGCGACGTAGAGCTATCCAATACGCTGAATCAATTGGCGGTAAAATCCGAAGCCTGATTTTGAATGAAGTGAACTTAGCTATATCATGACCAGAGCTCCACAACGGAGCTCCGATTCGAACCATTGCTGCGGTGCGATCAACTCGTCGTCTAGTACGTTTCTGATTCAGATGTGACTCCAGTTGGCGTGATTTAGCGTTTTCATCTGCGTTGATGCAGGACATATGGGGATCCTTTATGAAGGGAACTGGCCCAGAAGTTCAAGTTCAACCAACTTCCAGTCATAGTTACTACATGCACCGGCAACAAGCCAATCTGACCCGTCGGACGGTCGTGGGTGACGACCCCAAATTTAAGACGGCAGCAATATCTTACGTAGCTTTTTCCCGCCACACCCTTACCACGACTCATCGATATCGGTTTACCGATCTTGTAAACCTCGTTTTCCAATATGTTCTACTTCTTCTAGATTTTGTCGAAATTTCGCAGCTGTGGTCTCTGTGAATGGCGGTGTCCTATACTCGTAGATCGCTCTGGACAGACTGGCTGCGCCAGCACACCCTAAACAACGAAGACGGCCTCAGAAGTTCAATGGTCCTTCTGCCTCCCTGGCCAATCAATTTAGGTTGCACCAGCGCCACGATGACCACATAAGTTATTTGGCGCATACAGAGCATCGGACTCGGACACGTCGATTTTTTCATATATCTGTCAGTATCCCTGGTAAAGAGAGCCAAGACTCATGGAGAGTGTTAGCCACGAATCAGTATTTACCTGAGGGCTAGGGCCCTTAGCACACCTGAAACACGCAGACAGCTAAACATTGGTTCCGTCTGGTTCTTTCATTCCGGCTCGAGATTTCGTTGACAGCAAGACGAGCTTGGCTTATAATCCCCAAACTCAGCGGTTGTCGTCATAATGTTTTACTTGCCCACCAGTTCCTTCGATGTCTATGGCTCAGCCCAGAATTTGTGATACGCTCGTGGCACACGAGAAGTCGAATGCTCTGGAAGAGCTGGAACATGTGCATCCATCTAATTCCTCGCCACTTCCTCCAGAGTCTGACCCTCCAGATGGCGGGTTTTGGGCGTGGGCAACTGTTTTCGGGTGGTAAGTTGTCTCAAATGATGCTCGTGAGTTGCGTATATCACATTCACGACACTCAGTTTTTTGATACAGTTTTGTGGTTTTGGGTTCGTTCTGGCACCATTCCTTCGAGACGATATTTCACAGCACTTTGACAGATATGTATCATCATTTGGAGTGTATCAAGGTGTGCAGCGGTGGCATGATTGATCATACACATGGTTGACAAAAGAACTAAGATTTTTACACGCGGATTTACCTGGCCAATCAACCACCGTCCGCAATATCGTAAGTGAATGCACTTACACTCTGTTGTCTGTTGTCTCAGTCACTGTCAGATGGATTGGTGCATTGACCTCGTTCCTGGCAGATAGTGTCACCTTGATCTCAGGACCGCTGTACGACAGAGGATGGTTGTAAGTTGCCACACGTTGGTAGTTTTTTTTTGGCACTAACTTCTGATAGCTATCAATTGATGATTGTGGGCTCGGCCCTCCAGTCAATATCCTTGTTCGCGTTATCTCTCGCAAAGCCTGGTCAGTTCTACCTTGTGAGCAGCTATGGTGATTCTGTGAACGGGCTGTTTATATGTGGCGACTAGATTTTCATTGTCCAAGGTATCCTTTCGGGGATTGGGATGGGTCTAACATATGGTCCCTGCATGGCGGTTATCTCTCAGCACTTCTCCAAGAGACGCACGTTGGTGATGTCTCTTGTCGCGTCCGGTTCACCAATGGGTGCCGTTGTTCATCCGATCATGCTGAACCATCTTTTAAACGGTACTGTTGGCTTTGAGCGAGGTGTCCGTGCCAGTGCAGGTTTTGTTAGTGCCCTATTGTTGATATCTTGCCTATCCATGCGCACGAGAGCACTCTCCATGCCAAAACCGACCACAAGCTATAATGCAGCTGTGCGAAAATGCTCTCGAGATGTTTTCTTCATCCTCATAACCGCCGGGTAGGTCGCTTTTGGCACTTGCGCGAGTTTAGTATTCACCGCTGAGTGTTTAGGTCAACAATATTTCAGATCGGGTATTACTTCCCTATATTTTATTTGCAACTTGACTCTATCAAACATGGGATCGACGTCCATTTCTCGTTCTATTCTGTATGTCTGATATTGTCTTCTTCGTAGCTGACTTCTAACACGTTTTAGCTTGTGATCATGAATGCTGCTTGTGTCGTGGGCCGCTGCACAGCAGGAATAATTGCAGCGTACACAGGGGCATTAAACTTCACGATGGTATCCACTCTCGCATGCAGTGCCCTGATCATTTGCATGATAGCGCTGAGCGACGTAGCAGGTGTGGTTGTATTAGGGCTTGGATATGGTTACTTTTCTGGAGTTTGTATGTGCTGCGCCACAGCTTGTGTAACTCCTGTCACTGACTTTCCAAGATGTTGCGTTGATGGTACCGTTGGTGACTGTGTTTACGCACGACTTGTCCGAGCTAGGGTTAGCGTCTTCTACGTGTACAGTCTGGTGGTGTTGATCCTCATATGCAGAGCGCGATTCGGGATATGTTTTGCTTTCACTGGTATGTAGCACCCAGCTGTGCCTCGGAACTGCTAACAATGCGCGAATGGTTAGCCTTTGGTGGATTACTCGGTGAGTAGTTGCTTTCCGGTCTTTATTTGCCATTGAGCTAATATTTTCAGGCGGCCCAATATCAGGCGCTTTGCTTTCCTCTCAATACAGGTGGTGGATAGCATCGCTCTTCAGTGGGGTGAGTAGTTTTGCATTGCTCCTGCACCATGCTAAAATTTTCATCTACCGTGATAAGCTCATCTGTTTTGTCGGAAGCTCCATGTTTGTGGTGATGCGCTTGATGATATACCGCAGACGAAAAACGGAAGAGACACTTGCCACCCACAACGCGCTGAAATGAGGTGAACTACGTGTTCTATGAGCACTTTTCTTTCGGGTCGATATATGTGTTTGTTTGTTCAACATACTCGCCCTTGTGCTGTCGGTGGCACCAGGATGTTATAGTGTACACCTACGCGCATTTTTGATACATGGGTTGTATACGTATTTGCCACTGTATAAGCTATTTGCCGTCATGCCGAGTGCGATTTTTCATAGTCCGCTATATTTATTGTTGTATATCCTATAGCAACAATTGCAATTGCACTTCGACGTCACCCATGCATAAGTGAGCCATCATCAGATTCATCGCGTGGCAAACGCAGATGAGTCTACTATCCATTCCCAGCAGGTAAGTTCTTATTCCAGATTCTATGCTACTTATAATTTTTTGTTGTAGACCACGCGTGACGCAGTTGCAACTTAGCGACCAATCACGATTCACCGCCATTTCCACTCACCTCATGCCTACAACAACTGACAAGCCCACGCGCCAGATACACTATTTGGCAGTACCCGTCACAGTAAGATGAGGTTAAGCCAACTTGGGCAAAGGTAATCCACGATCCGGCGGTCTCGAAGTTCTACGACTAGCCCGCAGTGTACTCGACCTCCGGCGAACGGATCCAAGGCTTTGTATAAGGGACATTATATTTTGCACCACCCACAACCCACATTGACTCTACGAGACATTGGGTGCTTGTTTATACTACCATAGACAATCTACGAGAATATTTGGGGGGTGCGTTACCGCAATTTTGCAACGCGTGAACAGAACTGCCATTTTCATGTCTATCCCACACATTTGCCAAACGCATGGGGCGTCAGTGGTCTCGGAACTGGACATACTTCATTCACAAAGAGGACCGTCAAACTGTAAATGCTAGGATAATAGTTGTCAAGAGATTCATCCGGACCATCACCGTCGTAAGTCGGATCTTGTTCATAAGGTGAACCTTGCCGTCGAAAGCGCAAGGTGTTCAAGACCAGTGTTATTTGTTTGTCAGTTGTATGCTGATGCATTTTATAGCTGCAGGTTAAAGCATTAGTCTGTAAGTTTGAAAACAGCGGTCGCACGTAGGCAGAATAAGATTCGTGTTACTTCGCATTGTGAGAATGCAGAATTTCTTGATCAATGAATACTTACTATCTCTAGTAACGCCGACCTTCACCCTACCGGCCGGGTGATTGGATATCTTCGTATCTACCCTTCTCCCGACTCCTCATCTCTGAGTTGAGTAATAACATTCGAGCAAGTTGTAGCATTACCTTGCGCTTCCCCTCAGGTGAGTTCATTCCCTTATGAGTACGAATTGCTCACAAATGATTCAAGAGCAGGAAATATGCCAATGCTAGCATACTGTGGCTCAAGCGATGATGGTGACCTCACTCCAGGGAAATCTTATCAAGGGCGTAGTTTCGATTCGATTTCTATATAGTTTCTTACTGCATGTTTGTGTATCCCTCCTTGCGGTATTCAATGAGTATATTTCCTGGTTTCGGCATATATTCTCTATTGTTCTCTTCATTATTTTTCTTCGGTATGTTGTCGCATTCATTCCTAGTACAACTGATCATTAGGTCACTCAGGGCAAATATTGGATTTTATTTCCTTCGGGTCCGCTGTCGGCCACACAAGCCGGACAATTGGTAATCTTACTTCAAATATTCCAGACAAGACAGCTGTTATAATGCCGTCAGGTGTCTATGATCACAATGATGGACCCTGCAAGACTGTGGATGGCTCTATGCCTACATTTAGACCGCCGTCAATGACTTGGCCACGACCTGTCGTATCTCTTACCAAGTAACCCCTTTAGAAGGAGGTTGCACAGCACTCTTGCAGGGTCATAATCAACATTGTCCTTATAAATCTGAATACCTGCATCTCCTGTGCATAACACATTACTTATCCACCATTTTCTTCGATAGCGACTATGGTGCAGGACGAATTCCGCAATGATGTCATGACGGACGAGAAGTCAGACGTTCTGGAAGAGCTGGGACGCAGACAGTCTCCTGATTGCCCAACACTGTATTCAGATTCTGGCCCTCCGGATGGCGGGCGTCAAGCATGGGCAACTGCTTTTGGATCGTAAGATGTTCTCGAATGGTATTCACAAGTTGTGCGTCTGACATTCGCTATGTTTCCTAGTTTTTTGATACAATTTTGTGGCTACGGGTCGGTCCTAAATCTGTCCGATCGAGGCATCAGCTGATAGCTCTCAAACAGATACTTAAACTCTTTTGGAGTCTACCAAGGTAAGTACACAGCAGTGGAATCAGCTGTGTACGTGGTGGACAAACAAACTTGGAAGATTTTTACACACGAATTTATCTAACCGACCAACCACCGTCTACAATATCGTAAGTGAATGTACTTTTACTCTGATGTTTATTATCTCAGTCAGCGTTAGATGGATTGGCGCATTGGGCTTCTTCCTAACCGCCAGTGTCACCTTGATCTCTGGTCGACTATACGACAGAGGGTGCTTGTGAGTTCCATACATTCATAGTCAGTTGTTTATCACGCTGATTGCTGATAGCTACCATTTGGTGATCGTGGGCTCGTTGCTCCAATCTCTGTCCCTGTTTGCGTTATCCTTCGCTAAGCCTGGTCAATTCTACATGGTGAGCAACCCTGCCGATCTCATCGGTGGGCTACCTATATTTGTAACTAGATCTTTGTACTTCAGGGTGTCCTTAGCGGGCTGGGGGTGGGTCTAACGTTTGGTCCCTCCATGGCGGTCATCTCTCAGCACTTCTCGAAAAGACGCACGTTGGTGATGGCTCTTGTCGCGGCCGGTTCACCGCTGGGTGGCATTAATCATTCGATCATGTTGAATTGCCTTTTGAATGGTACTGTTGGATTTGCGGGAGGTGTCCGTGCCAGTGCAGGTTTGGTTAGTGCCCTGTTATTGATCGCCTGCTTGTCCATGCGTACGAGGGCACTGTCGACCCCGACTACCAGTTTTAGTAAAGTGGCCCGAAAATGCTCTCGCGAAGTCCCCTTCATCCTCATGACCGCTGGGTAAGTTCCCTTTGGCATCCGCATAAAGTCTTTGGAGCTGATTACGCCTAGTACCACGCTGTCTCAGATAGGTTTTTTCTTCCCTACATACTACTTACAACTGGACTCTATCAAACATGGGATCGACATACAATTCTCGTTCTACTTGGTATGTTCAATAATTCCTTATTCTCTGTGGACTCTTAACCCGATTTAGATTGCGATCTTGAACGCTGCCAGTGCCGTTGGACGTTGCACAGCAGGAATAATTGCAGGGTACACGGGATTGTTGAACTTGACAATCGCATCTGTTACTGCATGCAGCGTCATCATCTTGTCTATGATAGCTCTGAATAACATATTCGGTGCGGTTGCGATAGGCATTGCATATGGCTACGTTGCTGGAACTTGTATGTTTCACATTGCCGCTAGTGTAATTTCTGGCGCTAACGATCCAAGACATCTCGCTGTTGGTCCCACTGGTGGCTATTTTGACGCCCGACTTGTCGGAGCTAGGGTTAGTTGTATTATTACACACATTATTGTCTGGCCAATCATGTCGACCCTCCTATACAGGGCGCGGATGGGCATATGTTTTACTTTCACCGGTGTGTATCCGTCAGCTCTGTTTCGTAATTGCTGACAGACTGTGAATTTTAGCATTTGGTGCATTACTCAGTGAGTAATTTTTTGCCGTCTTTATTTCCCATTATATCAATGTTTTCAGGTGGCCCATTAGCAGGCGCTTTACTTTCATCTCAATATAGATGGCTGATACCGTCGCTCTTCAGTGGGGTGAGTAGTCGTTATCGTTCTCGCCTTTCTCCTGCTGAGTGTCTTGTGGCGATAAGATCATATGTCTTGTTGGAAGTTTGGTGTTAGTGGTAATGCGCTTGATAATACACCGGGAAAGATAACCCATAACCTGGCGCGGAACAAGGCGAACTATTTGTTTCACGAGTGAGGACTTTGGTCGGGGCCGGTATGTACTTATAAGCACTGACTATCTTGCGATATGTGATAGATGTATTGAGAACGTGTGCGGACATAGATGCCCATGGTCTACTTATATAACACGATGTTGAATCAACCCCTAGATCAATAAGCATCAATCTTACCTTCGATCTTGTCTTATCCGCAGTTGGACTTAGGACTCTCGTGGTTAACATTAGCCTGGCTGAGAATAACTTAAACTTCCTTTCGACCTCAAAACAGCACGGACACCACACCAATCGGAGCAGTGCCACGAAGCAACGCCTCAACTATCGTTCGCCCGGCGACTTACGACGCTAGACTTAGCGTTTTGGCTGAGCACTATTCTTGTCAAACACCACCCAGACCGCGGCTCTGAGACGGTCCAAAAGTTTCAACCACGCTATTCATAGAGTAGCTGGAGAAGTTCCGAACTTCCGAGGTGTCTTCGTCTTCTGGAGCCGTTCTATCAACTTCTGACGGGAAAACTCCCTCATTATCGATGGTGAATTCTTGTGCCGCTGGTAACTAGCCGGAGCTCCTGAATGCAAGCGCCAACAGTTTCGGTAATCTGATGGAGTGGGAAGACCTGCCAGCGGCCATGGCACTTTCTCGCCCCTGGGTGCCAGATTCGGCGGAGCTACATATACCGCTTCACTCTTCTGCTCCGCTCACAGCCTTGCCTCGCGCTGTCATAGCCCGAGGACGGACTTGATGAGCGTCGGAGAAGAGGCGTTCCATCGATTGAGCGCACGCTATATCAGGCGTCCACATGGAAGGAACGACTCGGGCAGTATTGTCTTTCTTTTATTGGTCTACTACTCCAAGGGGATATCGAAGTACCCAGGTGCGTCCTTCAAGTGAGCCACATTATAGTTCTCTCAAGCCACTGGCTGTTGCTTTTTGCTTCATAATGATCGCTGGTGAGATCGGAGTCGCTGAGATGAATCGTGCGTACTGTTGATTGATCACGATTCACGATCCGATGGTATTTGTTGATGGCCTAGCAATACAAGCTGTATTGCTGACGATATCGATACGTCTGGTACCCAACTGATAATACCACTTGTATTTTAGACCTTGAGTGTCGAGTGCACCGATCTTTGTTCAAGATGAGCATGAGATGCAACCAACATCATGATCAGTCGATGCGTCTAGATTCCAGGATAAGAACAAACAACGACCAATCGAGCCTAGCCTGCGCACTGCCAAGACTATAACCTGTAACCTGTGCTCGCATGTTCAAGCGATCCTCGGACTCCTCGTGCTCGCCAGATTGCGTTAGCACTGCGCCAGGTGACCATCACCCCCATGTCAGGTGGGTGAGGACGTATAAACGTGTTCAAGTCACGCCCACACTGGCTGGGTCTCAGATGAACGTATATAAGGGCTTGTTCGTCATTGATTGGCATGTATCTTTCCGAGTATCGGTGCTCGGCTGTCGAGCGAGTGCTCTTGATATATTCTATCGCATTCCCCACTTTGGTCTTTACATTCTGATCGGTCACTGGCGCGCATACTCGACAGCGCTCTAGGCCTCACACCGCAGAGTATGCCTCACCACGATCTCAAGCTCCACAAATCCCTTTTTATCGATATTGATACGACGCAGATAATGCCAGTAGATACGACGATAGATAGATACTGACTCCGACTTGGCCTTGGTTTCGAAGAGAAATATATTGGTACATTTTCGGTGGAGGATGTATGGGTAAATGGTAAGTGCTATGATATGATATGAGCACCTGGAAGGAGGAAGGAAAGCGTTCACCAATTGAATCGAAATGGCGGGCGGATGAGTGGAATGGCGGGCGAAGGAATAAAATTGTGGGTGGATTGGTGGACGGAGGAACTGAAATGAAGAGAACTTCCAATAGATGATGGATATTGGAGGGAGGCAGTGGGTAGACGCAAAGGCATCGGCTTCAATGGTGTTGCAATGCAGATACAAAAACAGCGTCATCGGACCATGCTGCCCGATTGCGGCGGCGGCGGGTGGGTAAAGCTAAAAGGCACTGTTTGGGGTAGAAATTTCATGAGACCCCTGCGCTCGCATAGGGCAAAGTTCAAGAGGTGGAGGCGTTATGTAGTCAAGAACGACGAAAAGACCCAATAAGGAGAAATAACACAGGAAACCAAAGCATGGCTATGAATGATACAGTGTGCATGGGAGGCAGGTGATAAAAGAGAGATAAAACGCGAGAAAAACACATGAAAGAAGATCGTGCAGGCATGAAGGGACGTGAGCATGAGCATGATGAAGTGGATGTGCCAGAGCGGATGGGTGTAGATCTGCGAAGCGTCTGCGATGTTGCCAGCTGAGACAGTCATATCTCCATATTGCGCTCTTCCCCGCTAACCACATCATCCTCTCGGGTTTTTGAACCAACGTCCTCTTTCCTCGCACGCACGCGTCCCCGACCACGCTCCTCATCCTCGCCCCGATCCTCAACGTCCATCTCCCACTTCCTCTCAGCTTCCCATGAGGGTGGTGGCAGGGACGTTTGTGACGACACGAGGGAAAGTCTGGATGATTCTGCAGAGTTCGAGTTTGAGGCAGAGCGGGAGGAGGGGATGGGGGTTCCGCGGATTGCTGCCAATTCGCGCTCGAGGGTGCGGTTGCGCTCTTCGAGATCTCGGCCGCGTGAAGCTTGGACGCTGACGAGCTGTTGGAGATAACGTATGTATTCCACGGACTGGGAAGCGGAGTCAGTAATTGAACGATTTTCAGGTGAATCACCACGAGGAAAGGCGCATATATGCAGTAAACAGATGCACGTATCTGGCAAGTGAGCGTATATAGTGCAACACAGGCAAATGGTGCATATAGGCAACACAAAGCACCGTCCAACCGCCACGAAATAAAAACAAGAGAAATAGATAAATAAGGATACCCACCTTCCTCAAAATCATCCCCTTGTTTGCCTTGATCATTTGTGGTTCAGAGCCATTTGCGGTAGTGATCCCGTTCGTAGGGATACCGCCATTCACACCACCATTTGCATTACCTCGGCCTGTTCAGGAACGTCAGAATGTGCCTTCCACAGCACGCAAAAGACGCACCATCATCTCCATCTTCGCTTGGATCCTTTTTCACAGCATTCCCGTTGGGAGCGCCGGGTACCCCATACTCAGGAACGTCAGCAAGACCCTCGTCAGAGTTTGCTGCATCCGGGAGGAGGGGGAGTGAGAAGAGATCGCCGTTTTCCACTGCAGGTGAAGTTGCGCTGAGGAGTGTGGGGGATGTTGGAGCAATGAGTGGGGCTGTGGTGATAAGTTAGATCCGAGGATTCAAAATGAGAATGAAAATTAAATTAGGAAAGGGAGGCCGAGGACCGCGAAAAAGGAAAAAATACCCACCATCACATTCAAACAACACCCCAGGAATTAACCCTGCTAGCTCGCCGATTCTTTCGTTGATGTTATCTCTCCGCCTTCTCTCAACAGCATTATGACTCTCCCGCCTTCTTCGTCTCTTTTCTGATAGACCATCGCCATCATGCTTTCCCTTGACAGAGGGAGGGGGAGAAGTCGTGCTGCTCCCAAGCATGCCCAAAGTAGAGACTTCACTAGGACTGATTCCCATGCTGGGAGTTCCAGTACGGCCATTAAAACTACCATAATTTATAGCCACATTGTTTTGCGAAGCAAATGAACCGGGTTGCGTAGGGTATGAAGTGGTTGCCGCATTATATCCCTGGAACCCGCCAAAGGAATGAGTGAGACTATCGGGTGTGGGAAGCGAGTATTCGCCTTGACCGGGAACAAAAAAGCCGCCCATTGTTGAACCACCACCCCTACCGGGGATAACTATGGCATGGGGACGGGGGGGAGGGGGTGGTGAAGTGCCGGATACATGTGAACTAATGCTATTAGCTCGGCGATCGCGACGGGAGGTTCGGGTGGGGCCGATGCTTGGGGGGCGTGAACGGCTACGACTGGGTGAGTTGGGGTTGTGCGGGGATGGGGTGTGGCGGTACGCGAAATGTGATGGCGGATCTGGGTGTGGTTCGTACCGCATACTGCTATTTAAGGCAGGAAGGGTACTGTTAAAATGGAGATCATTGGTATGTTGTTGTTGACTGTTTGGATAGATATCGGTTGATGATGGAGGTCGGTAATGGCTGGTGGTTGTAGGAGCGCTGATATCAAAGATATTGTGACGGTACGGGTCTGCATCATATGTACTGCGTTCGTGCGACGCATGGTGAGGGTGCGAGTCGATGAGTGTTGCAAGATCGTCGGTGAAGTCGATAGCACTACTCGGTGTTGCAGGTTGATGATGAGAATGAGCTTGAGCAGCGCTTGGAAATTTACGAAATGAGTCAGGAAGAAAAGATAGGTTTGGTGGCATGAAAAGATTGTTGGGAGACGTTGGAGGGGGTGAGGTGGGCGTTTCTGAGAGGGAGGAAACGGTGTGTGCAGGTGAAGGAAGCTGGAAACCTTCTTGTCTTACTGTTGTTGTACTATAGCTGGACATGAGAGGATGAGGATACAAAGTGGAAGATATGGATACTATGTGATTTCGATCTGTCAGTCTATAATACTTCACTTTATTATCACTTTGATCTATTTCTCGCTCAATTCGGGGTCTCGGTCCGAGTATGGGAACAGGTACAAAATATTAAAACAAATAAATAAAAACAATTCTTATTACATCTTCATTCTATCCTTAGGTTTCTCTCTCTCAGGCCCTACTGCCCCCGATCCCTCGTAGCCTCGGCACCGTCAATCTCTCTCCTCCCAACCCTACACCAATGTACATCACCATATCTTCTCCCGCGACTGTCCAAGATCGCCACCTTACTCTAATCATTAATATTCCTTGACACACGACGTGCACTGTCCTTCTGCATAAACAAACCCCCATCGCGACACTTTAAGTTTACTACATCCTCCGACTCGTCAATCTCCGCGATGGCGCCCGCTATTTCACTTGACAGAACACAAAGCCAAATTTCACAACACCACACCTACTCCTCGGACAGTTTTCATTCAACACAAAATAAACTGCAAACAATAGGATTCCCGACCCAAGGCCCGTTTTTTTTTTACTTAACCTCAGGCCACCCTCGACTTGATCACCCTAGAACCACCTACTTATGTATACTCTCTAGATCATAATTTCGCCTAGCCCAGGACCTATCGGTACGAAGCTAAATAAGTCTTACGTGCGAGCGCAATGCCACCTACACTACAAGTTCCTCACCCTCAAATCTGATCGAAACGTCATATAGAACCCACCACTTGCCAGATCAGGAAACAACAGTTATTCAGACGCAGATGAGTTTACCTTTGATCTCGCGAACAAGATAGAGGGGACAAGGCACATCTTCGGAATTATCTTGTCTACAGATCCCCCCCCCGGGACGCCGTTGCCAATTTTTATTGGATGAGCTCATTTCACTGGGCGATTATAATCGCCTCACGACCAGTCGACACCAGTGGAGTTTTTAGTCACTAATCGACCATGCTCTCTGCTCCCAGGCGCGGCTCGCTCCTGCCGCCACATAAGCCTAACTTTCTTTTTTTTGGTATCGAATTAACTCTGAACTCTATGTCGCGTTAACCTACTATAGCTGCTTCTGTCGTATATAAGTGGGATTTATCGTAATATTTTATCACACAATACTAGACTCCATTGTAAGATATGACGCCTTTCTAGACAGGGGTGGGATATTGAGTTATGGATGGGCGTCGAGAATTGGCGTAGGCATCATGGGCCGCGTTGGCGTCGGCGGTGGTGCCTCCCTTCTATCTCGGCACACTGGTGAAAGCGACTAATTCATTAAACATAATATCTCCAAAAAGCTTAGCACAGGTTGTCAACCGCCCAGACGGTAGCTACTACATCGCACGCTGACAAATACGCTCTTCTTATTGACCGGGATACGTCCCGTCCTAGTAGATAAGCCTGCAAACGGAAAGCCGTTGGGGAGTTACATACATAATCCGATTACTGATTACTGCGGCTGGGCAATCATTGATGCATGAGGTACGAGCTACCAGCGGAGGCGGAGTAGCATGTGGAGCGCGCATTGTGTCGATCCAATCTGAAACGCCAGCCGACACAGCCTACATTCCAACGAAACGAGAATAATAGGCGGGAGACTTTGAAAGCTCTATCAGAATGAATGGGCGGGAGTATGAGCGGATGCAAGGAACCCGCCTCCACTGGAAAAAATGGAGATAGATATGACAGGGTGGGCAATGATGAAGGAAGGTCCACCGCTCAGTGTGGTACCCGTTAGTATTAATAACAACACGCCTACACAGGCGGGCCAGGCGGACCGGGAATGTACAATTCGAAGAAATCCATTCAATTGAAGGCGGGAAGGTATGGCATATGTGAGATACGTCGTGTATAGGTATCGACGGGACTGGGAAACTCTTGGCAAACGATAATAATCGTATTTGATATCGGTGCTCGCTGAGTGGCCTAGGTGCGTCGCACGTCTGTGCCAGGATTCTCAATGACGATGAACTGGGGGTGGGTGCCCCCGCGGGCGTAAGGTTATAATCCTAAGATTAGATGTGATGAGATCGCGGAAGCGTAGTGAGTGATGAGATTGGACGCACCTAGGTCTGGCCTGCCTTATCGTGTTCCAAATTAGCGCACAATGTTATGACGGTGGTAGATTGTTTCATCCTTGTCATATCATCATCGCTGAAATGATCAGTAGACGCTCGCGGACTAGTGTTCAGCCATCCGATACGTTTTTAGTAAGAAAGAACACCCTTCGACTGACAGATCATGGAACTAATGAACGGAAGAATAGGCACCAAGAAGACACGTTGATGGAAAGCATCAGTTCTTAGGGGTATGGCCCCAATTCCCACATGCATCGTAAAATAACATACCATCAATGCCCCCACGTATCTCAGGCGTTCCGTTTCCCTCACGACGTAGGTTAAGAAATTGTCGCATCGCCAATGCGCGACAATGAAACGGCATCAAGCTTGGTTGCGCAAGGCACGATCTTCCTCCGCTGGTTACTGACGGAACCTGACAGTGACAGGAGGGCAAGCGATCTGATTCGGATAATCTGGGAAACTTATCAAGAACGATATTTAAATTCGTCAAACCATACGACCCTGAGAACGTGCTGTAGGGTCTGGAAGGGCGAATCGAGTTTAATAGAAAAGAGACACAGCATTATGAACAACAGCTAGACCGGGAGATCACCGGAAGCACTACCGCGGATAACGGAGGATAGCATCCGACTAAAGCCGACGGACGATATAATGTAGGAGCATAGTTGAACCATATCTTCAGGGAAGCATGTATTAGAGCACAATGGCATCATTGACATGGCGCCCTGAGGATAGGGACGGCAATAAATCGGAGACACTGTGGTTAAGTTGTGTAAGTACGGCAAGGGAACTTATCAACTCTAGGACACCACCGCGGACAACAGAGGCTTTTCACCGGTAGAAGGACCGAATAGTCGCAGTAGTGCATGGTGTTCAAGGGTTCGGCCGGTGTCAGGAAAGTGGCTTCGACAAGGTGAAGTTGTTGGGGGTTGACAGAACAGCACGGTACACGACACCGTGGGAACCTCACTGATGGTCTGAAGATCTGGGGGCTGAGCCAGTACGGATTCGCACGACGAGAAGCAACAGTATCGTGAGTTAGAGTAACCGGCCCGTACGTCGTGCCGTCCTTTGCAGATTCGAGTAAGCTGTGGCTGACTAAATCATAGTTCAATGAACATATGCATCCACAAGCGCCAATCCAAAAATGACAACACTGACCAATCTGAGCAAGCAAGAAGAGTAGATTTCCAGGAATAGTGTCAATTATCCGGTCCTCAGTGCCGGTCAATGGGAATACCATGGACTATTGACCATCTGCGAACAGGACAGATCCCGGTCGAAAAATAACCCTGGCCGTCATTAGATGGAATGTAACGAGCTAATTGTCGAAATCTATGTATCGATGCGGAGAGGGGAGCTGATACGTGGCAGATTACTGTATGTTCAGTAATGGTGGTAGTGTACTAATCGGGAGGAGCATATTCCGCAGCCTTGTTAGGGCAAGTGAGTGCGAGATATGTAACTTTTGGATTTTGATTGATACTCCACAGGCCGACACAACGGTACACGAAGCTTCCGTCGTTTGTTTGAACCAAACGTTCGTCCATAAATGTTGGCGCAAGAGACGAATGCCCCTGACGAGAAGTTGTAGCTCACCTAGGATTCTCCGAAGAAATAGAAATACCGCCGGCTAACAGTGTGCCTCATACCATCGATGCATCAATGTTGCTTTTGATGCACTGGCAACGCTCATATATTGTCTTTCCCCTGAACTTGGATAATCCCCACCCGCTAAGGAAGATAACTGCAGGGGAAGATGTCCTCAGGTAGTGCTGCTGGCTTTCCATTAAACTTGTTCCACGGTGTCGGTACGGCAATCAGCGCGAATCAAGGAGCGCAACTCAGCTGAAGTTTGAAAATACGTACACGTAAATCCAACAAGGGGCGCAACGTATGGTCCGGTACAGATGTGCGCTCCGCTTTTTGGAAGCATACTGTGGAACTGGGTCAACCCAATTGAGATCTCTTGACAACGGGCTATTACGCCATATGAATTTGACAGCGTCTTCTAGTCCTGTGTTGACCGTCGTCCGAACTAGGTGGCGGCGAGTAAAAGGAGTTGGGGCAACCTATGGCCCGAATGGATAGATAGGTCAATACGGCATTTCATGCAAGGATACATACCGGCTAAAGGACTGCATCCTTTTCCTCACGACCGTGTTCCTCTCTTCTTCTCATTGTGTTTTTTTCATATTAACGAGGTTATTACGACCTGGTTTGGTCAACGATGTCTTGGAGACGACGAGCATCGAAGTCTTGATAGAAACGACAAGTGTACTTGGCCCATGGGACGCGAAGTTGGTTGGCGGGTGTCCCAAAAAGAGAAAGAGATGATAAAGCCGAAAAAGCCCAAGGGAGTTGTCGCACTTGTTTGACGTAACGACAGGCTGGCCAAGTGAAAATATGAAACGGATCTAGAGCGATTCTGAAAGAACTGACGCGTTCGGGGGACGGCGGCAAACTACCAGACTCTTCACCAGGGTCTAGGACAGAATTGGTGCAGATATGCCAATCGGAGACATTGCATTAGAATCCGATGAGAGGCGCTGAGAATGTAGAACTGTCCAATCGAAAGAGTAGAACCATATGCAGACATGGATGCGGGGAAGATATACTTATTTGATGGCGGCGAACGGACCGCAAGCAGTACTAGTGTTATTAGTAATTAGTTTCACATATGTAACCTTGTTTTGTTCAGCTTGGCAACAGCGCGACCCCGAAGACTCTGGGGAATTGGAAATCAACTAAAGCACCCAGTAAACTCACCTGGCTGACTCGATACATACTACCCTCACACGCTATAGGATTGGTCCAGTGAACCAGGCTCTGTCGATCTAGTGCATTCGGTGGAGTATCGTAACTAGGACGTTGAATTTCGTTATCAGGATTGTCCAGTCGTGACTTTGGCCCGACTAGCACAAGCAGCTTGATGTCGCAGTGGAGATGAAGAAGTTTGGCCAGGAGAAAGGATAGTGTCGGCAGTCCAGTCAACTACTTATAGCTTATTTACCAGGCAACGACGCCTTGAACCCACTAAGGCTATCGCGACCACCTGACTCGATCATCGGTTGTTAGTGGCAAATCAGCTGGTTCGCTTCTAGCCTCGATGACGGCTGTTCGGTGTGTCTGGTGATGGCGCTCTATCAGATAGGCGTGCTTGATCGCTGATATGAGCCCTTCTGGGTAACGTGCTTCAGACAAGAAGCCACTATCAGTGTCAGGCGCTGGTCATCTGCCGATAATATTTCCAGGAACAGGTCACCTGCTTCGACTACCTTGCAAAATAGTACTCATCTGACTCTTTTCTAGGCGGTTATCGTATCAACGAGGAAGGAGTATGATCGCGGTGGAGTCTGTGCATCATAAGTGACCTGTTTCGCGAGCTCATCTTTATGACATCACTTCGCGTATAATCATTCCAGCTAGTACTTTTTGGCGATGGTCCAACGAACAAAACGCAATAGAGACAGCTCATCCCGATCGGACAGGCATTGAATATTGAATATTGGATATTGGATAACTGCGCATGAGGCACGCCAAATTCTAAATATATGCTTGGAACTGTCGCGCAGTCCATTCGACACCAATGATGGTGTAATCCCTGCTTGTGATTCCGTGGCTGACGGCAAAGTGGGGCTGCGGAAAGACACGATGCACCTTGTCCATGACGGGTTCGATCGAATCTGGGATATTGCGAAGGAGTGTGGTGTCATAGGTGGCTGTTTTGAATTTCTTCAACGGGACACACTGCAAATGATCAACGATGTCGCGTTTGGTAGGCAAGCGCCCCAGCTCACCTTCACTCATTAAGATATCGTCATCGAGGCGGGTACGCAGTATTCTTCCAAGGTCTAATTCGGGAACTTGTAAGAGCAAAAATTCGCATCCTTCTACATATCAACCAAACGGTTCCGAATGCCACCTGTAGTGAGAGGTTCCCTATGATCCGCGATGCGTGATCAGCGAGGCCTGGCCCTTCTCTGTCATGTCCTCTCCCTCCTTCTCCTGCGTGATTCTTGCAGCCCTTAGGTCATATGCGAATGTGAGTAGGTAAAAAGTGAACCCGAATCCAATTATCCACTCTAGAACTGCTCCGACCTCCGAAGCGTAAAATAGCGCGATACCAAAGGCGATAGCTAAAACAATAAGTACGCTTCCAATGACGGCCTTCACCAAGTACGCATACCGAAGCTTTATAATGTCAGGATGGGTTTGAACTAACCAGCGATACTCGAGCACAGTGAAAATTATAGAGAGAATGACACCGAGGGCGAAGAAGAACAGGCATACGTAGTGCGCGGTGTGGTAGCGTTTTGTATCGAAGCCAGATAGGAAACCGAGGCCCAACATTCCGATGATTGATCCTGCGATGGCAAGGATCTCAAACACGCGCTCTTTTTTGCGCATGGAGGGAGGGAGCCTGCCTCTGTGCCGTAGAAGACGTTCTAGCACGAGAGAGAGCATGAAGCCCACTCCGGTGATGCAACAACCAACAATGAATAGTGGTTTGAGGAATGATGCGGCAACGTCTGAAATGTATGCAACATTTCCCTCTTGAGAGACGTACTTGGGACGTCCAGAGATAAGCCAGGTAAGAAGTATGGCGAGCAGTGTTGCAGACCAGAATAAGCCAGTGATTAGTGGCACACAAATAAGCAGCCGATGACTTTGCGTCGAAAGGTGTAAACCAGTCATCGTACTTGGTATTGTGACTGATGGAAAGACCGTATTGCAGGGAAGGAAATCAGTTTGGAGCTGAGGCGAGGAGTTTGGAGCCAACCTCAGGCTAAATAGTATAGGGCCATGCCAGATCCCGTGGAGTCAGATGCAGCGTGGGATTGTCATGCATTACGCACTACAAGACTAGGTCCATCGTTCGCCAAAGCACGTGTATAAGCTTCCCTCAGAAGTTAATGTGATGGGCTGCACTACATGATGCATGACGTCTCTCACTGAGTTGTCTCAACCATCTCTATGTACGATCGCGACCCCGGGCTTTGTCAGGCCCCCTGCCACCTCTACCCCTTAATCTACCCGTCACTCCCACTTCCACCGGCTTACACCTGTTCTGCCCAAAACCTGCACAAGGAAAATAAGGTCGTCGCGTCAAAATCGGGCTTCAACCCTACCTCGGTCAGCAGCCAACCAACAACATAATTTGAGCTCGGAGTCGAAAACAGAGCATCTCGGTAACTAGCCAGAGAGCTCTTGAGCAAGAACACGTGGTACAGTTTCCAGCGCACTTTCTAGCGCAGCGAGCTTTACTGATAATTGTGAACGTCAAAGTGGAAGACACACTCAAAGCTCCTTCCTACTTTCTACCAGTATTTTCGAGTTGTTTCTCGACAACGCTCTGGATGAACACTGTGAGAGAGGAAAAATTGCTCCAAGCGATTTTTCCAGTCACACCATGAACATCTTTGAATCAGTTCTTGATTTTGCGGCGTCCAGGTAGGCCCCATGAACATGACGAGCGCAGAATCGCTGTGAAAGTGGAAAGTCTAGGGTCAAGTCAGATGCTAGGTACGTGAAAAACGCATAGTACTCACAGCTCGCTTGCGACTTTTGATTTGTCTCAAACAGCAGTGATTTTGTGGGTTACGCTGATAGTCCCCTCTCTTTTAAAGGATTTCGAGATGTATAATTGGTAAAGTAAGTGGTTTTGATGTAGTGGCTGTGCACGCTATTGTTGTTCACCACTGGCGGTTTCAGACCTTGTTCCAATTGTCTTGAACCCTGACTAACGAAACTTTATGCATCTTGATTTCTTCAATTCTGTATTGGATGAGACGATGTCATGCTGCTCCTCGGCGGAACCTTTCAAGTTGTCAACGGTGGAAGCCCCAATAAGTAGAATTCGAACGGGGTTGGACTGAGGATTGGTGTATCGAAGCATCCGCTTCATTCCTGCAAGCTATCCACTGCACATGGCGCTGGCTACTACATCAGTACGTAGTCCTTTATCATTTATCTGACTTTTATAGTGCAATATTACCCACCACGGCGTTTCTTGCGACTGGCTCTCAGAGTCTCGTGACGGACTTGTTTACATATACCTAGTGCAGAGGCCCAGTCAGAGAAGAAGTTCTCATAGGTGGGAAAGTTCCGCCTTCGTGTCATGCTTCACGCTGACCTGTTATACAGGTGAAACTCGCACTCCTTTATCCCATCATATATAATTCACTGTACCGTTTGATATCAGGATTAACATGTCTTCTCGATTCCACGTTTTCCACTAGCACCCGATCTCCTGCCCATCATTGAACGCTGAACACCTCTTTCCGATCACAGGGGTATCGTAAAAATGCTGCACCACTGCTGCGGTGCTCCCAAATGGTGACTGAGTATCAACTACGCCTACTGCTAGCTGCTGGGACCTCACGCTAGTGCTTGTCCTTCCAACGAGCAACGGAGTTCTTCCTCGAAGGCGAACCAATTGAATGGTGCAGAGGTTATCGTATTGTATACACCGTTCTGGGTTAGTGTTAAATTTGATGATGGACCTGCTCTACACTTATGTTAAAAATACTACGGGGGCCGTGTCATGGTACACTGTTTTCTCGAATACGTTCTGTATCAAACTTCGACGCGATGAGAAAGGAACTGGGTACACTGTTTGATCTGTGATATATGTGAACCTACATCACTATGTGATATGGGGTCGGAACACAGGCTGAATGAAACCAGGGCTTCTATTCACAGGAAGTGCTTAGCAAGCCTCTATCCTGATCTCTGGCTCGGACCGCTTCGGCTTGCGAGCCTGGTCCCCTCAGTCTGAGACTAAGTTATTTTACCTCCACTGTGACTCCCATGAATAAATCCTACGCATTCGCACACCTCCCACGCAGCTCTCGCATGACGAGGCAACTTCAGCCGGCGATGCATCATCTGCATCTGGCGCTTCTTCAGCACAGTCGTAGCACAGGCTCACGCGGCGACACTCCTTGCATTGGTTGATGGAGAAGCAAGTGATGCAGAACGGCCGGTTACAGCGCGGACATCGAACGAAGATTCCATGTACCAGTTCTGCACAGAGGTCGCAAGCCCACACACTCTCGCACGAACACATCACGCCACAGCTCGCGCATTCTGGGCAGATATGTTTAGACCAACATGTAATGTTGGCGCACGTCCGCCAGCCGGGTGGTGTGCATTCCTGGCAGGGCTTAGGCTTGGGAGGGTGAACGCGTCCGTGATTGCAGTAGGCCATTATGAGACGTACATTAGACCAGCGTCCCCGTGAGAAAGAATCGGACTCGATGCCAACGGGACGACCAGTACATGATAGCTGATCCTTCGTGCAGCACCAGGAGTTGCACTGTGGACATTGTACCAGCCGCTGAGAGTCCTGATACTCGAGGCATGGGAGACATAGCACTTTGTTTGGATGCGTGATGCACCGCGCGAGCGGGGGTTCAGAAGATCCGCGGCAATCATGCGACTCGCACGATGCAACCTGACAGCTGTTGCAGTGGATAAGATCAGAGGCGCATATAGAGCACTTCCAGAAAGCTGGTGGTAATCTGGTGTTTGTGCCACCGGGAACCTGTCGTTGTGAAACACGTTGATGGTATCTCTACCGTAGTCAATTTGCATCATGATAGTGCAAGAACAAATCAGTACTTACCTCAACTTGCAATTGTCTCCATATCCTACGTGCAAAGTAACTCTCCGTCATTGTATCCCACTGGTGAGAGCATACATCAGACCTCGCGAGGGCAAACTCATAGATGTCCATGATGACCGGCATGAGCTCACTAGGGACGGGAATGCAGTCATTATGCCAATTGTCTCGTATCTGCATGTCACAGAACAGGACAGAAAAGCGATTAACATGGATGACAAGGCTCGATAGGTCTGGGGGTCCTGGATTTTGTTCTGAGAATGTATACTCAATTTTTAGGGGTTGTGATGATATCTCGTCGATTGTGGAGGGCTCTTTTGATGGGTACAACATGTGGTAGGCAGTTTTCATGACCCGGAATACATTCATCCGCATTGGATGGGCATACTCTTTCTCATACTGAGAGAAGATTGTCCAGATAGGCATGCAGAGCAGGCCTGTGGAGAGACGAGGTACTACATAGGACAAGAGCAGAAATTACATAATAATACGATGAGAACAGCACGTGATTCTGCCACTTGTACCACTACTACTAAGCCTCACATCGTTTACAAGTCACTCAATCCAGGCAATTCAGAATTACAGTATCTAATAGCGGTGTCAATGCAATCAGGTGGACATTGTCTTCGAGTCGGACGTTACATGCGCCAAGCTCCCGGTGCAGCAATGATGTTCTCCAACTCGAATCATGTTTTTGTGTACCAACGGGTTGCTGATGGGCGCAAACAGTTCTGACCGTTTCCACTGGCAGGGCCTCACCGATCGCATCACGCTTACGGGAAACCCCATCATTTACCAGTACTCACCCTCACCTGGGATAATCTCTGTCCCCGAATGTGCCACTCATTCTTCTCTGAGGATATACCGTATTACCGGAGTCTCGTCCATTCTGTTATCTCACGAGACAATCTTTCTTTATTACGACTTTCAATCATCCTTCGACGATACCGGATTCTGGAATTCTTTACACCTCACAACAGCAACTGAACCAACTAAATAAAGCTCCATAGTTAAATATACCGATTGGTGAGAAAGCACTAGTCAAGTGAGTACTGCGGACCATCTGATAGCTGATAAGTTGCTCACGCCGTAGCCTTCCATTGCTCATGTACCATAGGGCAGCGTTAGCTGAGAGTTCTCTAGTCATTCCCAGCTTAAAGGACATTGGTTTCATTTATATCTCCACGCCTGCGTTGTATTCACGTTCGCTATCTCCTGCTGTACCGACATGACTTCTTCAGAAGACCTCTATGCAATCTCCGCTGACTGGCTCAGAAGCCTAGAAGTTGCATCATCTACCGGAGATTCTAAGTCATTTGTAAGCCATTTCCTCTCGGACGGGTGGTTGAGAGGTCGGTGCTTGTCTAAGGAACTGAGGCGCACTCACAAGCGTTCTCTCTCTCAGATCTTCTATGTTTCTCTTGGGATTTTAGGACGCTATCAGGTTCGGAAAAAATACACGGATTCCTCTCGGAGGTGGTTAATGGAAAGCCGCGACTTGAGCATTCTGGTCTTCGTGACTTCAAGATAGACGATCACACTGCCAATGCGCCTTCACCATTCAAACTGCCAGGTCCACAAGACATTGAAGGAGTGCAAGGTGCTTTCACATTTACCATTGCGAAACCGGCTGCACTCGGACGAGGTTTCTTCCGTCTGACACAAGATGCAAATGGGAAGTGGAAGGCTTTAACTCTTTTCACAAACATGCAGGACCTCGTCGGGCATGAGGAGTCTTCTGCAGATCAACACGGCCTGTATGAAGATAATACCTGGGAGGAGGATGTTGCGGCAAAATCTCGTGCTATAGAGGCGGACCCCACTGTTTTGATTGGTGCAGTACAGTTTCTCTCCTTAATAATGATAACTTGACGACCATAAAAAGTTGGTGGTGGGCAAGCTGGCCTTACGTCTGCAGCGAGGCTGCGTAGGTTAGGCATCCGTGCGCTTGTGATCGAAAAAAATGCGCGTGTTGGAGACTCCTGGCGACAACGGTATGTGTAAACACAGCGTTAGTATGTTTTTCTTGATATAGATGCGAACTACAGATACCCGAGCCTTAAGCTGCATACTCCTACATATCAAAGCTCCAGTACGTCTTTTCATCTGTCTATAGGAGGCTTAGAGTTAACCTATACACAGTGCTTTACAGTCCCTATCCGTACGTGCCTTCCGCCGTTCAACGGTATCATCTATCTCAGTGATGCTAGGACAAACTTCCCGAACTACATTTCTAAGGGGAAACTTGCTAATTTCATAGATTCGTACGCTGTGAATCAGGAATTGTGTATCTGGCACTCGAGTAGCCTAGTCTCAAATCCAGTGTACGACTCATCATCCGCAAGATGGACTGTGGAAGTCCAGCGCGGAGACCAGAAAGTATTCGTTAACCCGAAGTACCTGGTACTTGCTACAGGAAGCGGGAGTCCTTACACTCCTACTTGGAATGGAATGGATGAATTTCAAGGAGCCTTGTATCATTCCGACTTTCATAAAGACGCAGAGCAATTCAGAGGCAAACGCGTTGTCGTTGTGGGTGCAGTAAGTCGTGTCTCCATTTCATATTTGCGTGCACACTCACAAGAGCGTCAGGGTAATGCCGGTGCAGATATATGCCAAGATTTTGTGGCGCATGGCGCTACTGAGGTGCGCCTATGGATTGAACTGTATCGAAGTCATTATTTCATAAGAAAGGAAAGGTAACAATGGTCCAAAGAAGCGCTACATGCGTGATAACTTCAAATACCGCAGAGAAAACCCACTTCAAGTTGCCTTTACCTGACAGCGCCCCTATCGAGGAAGTGGATTTCCACAATAATTCAATGCCTCTGGCCTTGCTCCTGCAACTGAACATCGCAGGTTGGACACAACACACGAAGATGCTCGATAAGGAATTCCACGACGGTTTGCGCAAGGCTGGATTCAACTTAACTTGGGAACTTTCGCCCGGCAGTGGCGAGGTTGGGCTGGACGGATTTTTATTCACCCGCCAGGCGTCAGGAACCAGTGCGTTTGGATTTGTTCTTGAGACAAGTGTCATTTTAAACACCCTACAGTGATCGATATCGGGTGTGGTAAGCTAATCATCGAAGGCAAAGTCAAGGTAGGACTGGTATTCGTTTTCCAAGGGCTGTCTAATTGTTGCGATTCGCCCAGATAAAGCAAGGCCAAGAAATCAGTCACTTCGATAAAGATGGAATCACGTTTAAAGACGGCTCCAAGCTTTCAGCAGATGTTATCGTCATTGCGTAAGATCTGATTGGTAGTTTCTCGTCAATCTTTCTCACGCACGTTGCAGTACAGGAAATGAACCCATCATGAAGACTGCGAGAGCTCTTCTTGGCAATGAGATCACCGATCAACTTCTTCCGCAGGAGGTAATGGGCCTTGACTCAGAGGGAGAAGTTAATCAGACATATCGACCCTCTGGACATCCGGGACTTTGGTTTGCCTCCGGTGGATTTGTATTCTCACGTTTCTTCAGTAAACGCCTGGTAGGCTACCTTCTTCTGTCTGTCTGTATATCTTTTAATGAATGCCATGATACAGGGTCTCCAGATCTTGGCAAGAGAGCTCGGTATAGCACGACAAAAGGGGTGTCGCTGTTGCACATGATGTAACTATATTGCAGGTCAGAATGACAGATACCGGCGTTATGACTACCATGGAACATAGATGAGAGAAGACTAACCATGTAAAGCAATAGCTCTCTGTACCAATCCAATGCATTGTTTTCATTCCGGCGACTGATACAAGGCCATTTTGATGAGGCTTGCATATGGCATCTATCTCACTGGCTGTACACATCGACAGTCGAAAGGAATCTGAGTCATGATTGTCCACAGCTGGCGGGTCTCCAGCGAAAAGTAGAAATAGTACGGCATGTGACTTCAGATATGAGGTGGCCATGACCATGCAATGAGGATCTTCAACTCATACGGTTGCCGCAGATCTCTCTAGTCACAGTGCTTTTGGTACCAAGTCAACGGCCGGTTGAAAACGCAGATGTTCAGCAGCTCCACACCTGCCGATAGACTTGCTGGCAATATGCTGGCATTGTAGATATGCCGCCATATCCACACAACAAAAAATATAAAAACCAGTCGTCTTCCGACGATCGCCTTCAGCATTTGATCCCATATGACACGAGTCACAAACAATGCGTTTCTCCTCTGCAATTGTCCTCGCCGTCATTACTACTCTAGCATCATCAATCTCTGCAGTGCCTCTTACCAGTGACACGGATAGCGCCGATCATTGTGCTAGGTTTTGCTTTTTGGACTCACAATGCGGCAGCGACTCTTGCACTTTTAATCAATGCGTGAGTATCAGCATTTTTCTTGACTTGACAACACGACTCACCTGCATGGCAGACCTTTTTCATCTGCACAGTGAGTCAAGTTTCTGCTTTCACATTGGTGCAGTATGGCTGTTGACACTGACGCGCGAGTTACTAGTGATTTGCATAGTTGATGGTGATCCACCGTGATCCGGTCCTGAATTATGCAGCGAGGTGGTTGCAGTTGTGATGGCTGCGATTCACCTTTACGGTATGGAATGGACCTGCGAACTGACCGAATGCAAACGAATGTGTGCAGTGCGCTGCGCGCACGACTCATCAACGGACGTCAAAGCCTGGGAAGTGTAGTATGGTAATTCAATGATAAGTGATGGGACATGATTCTAGAAGGATTAATGTAGGGAATGATCTAGTGCGGGCGTGATGAAATATAGTGTTTGCTGTCTCATTTTCCCACGTTATTGAGCTCCACATCGTTCCGGACTGAGACAGCTATTTGCAAGCCGAAGGAATGCTGAACCGTTTCGTTCGAGAATGTACACAGCACAACCGGTAGATTATGAAAAGGGTAAAATGTGGACAAAGTGTGAAAATACACGAGACTGACTTTTGTAATGCAATATTATCCACCACGGCGTTTCTTGCGACTGGCTCTCAGTCTCGCGACGGACTTGTTTACATATACCTAGGGCAGAGGCCCAGTCAGAGAAGAAGTTCTAATAGGTGGGAAAGTCCCGCTTTCGTGCCATGCTTCATGCTAACATGTTATACAGGCGAAACTTGCGCTCCCTTATCCCATTCACTGTACCGTTTGATATCAGGATGAACATGTCTTCTCGATCCCCTGTTCGATCACGTTCATTAGCACCCGATCTCCGCCCATCATTGCAATATTGAACGCTGAATACCTCTTTCCGATCACACAGGTATCGTAAAAATGCTGCGCCACTGCTGCAGTGCTCGAAATGGTGACTGAGCATCAACTACACCCGCTGCTAGCTACTGGGACATCCCAGTGCTTGTCCTCCAAACGAGTCACGGAGTTGAGCATACACCAGTTCATCCAAACTCACAAAGACGTGCGATACCGTCAAGATTCACATACTCCTGTCAGTCATATCAGGTCTCCCATGTTTTGTTTCAATGTTTGTCTTCCTCGTCGAAACGATCTATCATATTACGCTATAGTCTGATTGATCCGCTTACAATGCCATTTTACTTTCTTCTAGACGAATGGCTGCGCAGTCGTGGTCAGTGCCACCTTTCTCGAAGGCGAAGCAAATGAATGATGCAGAGGTTATCTTATTGTAAATACCGTTCTGGGTGGTTAGTATCAAGTTTGGCCCATGACGGTCCTGTTCTACACTCGTGTTACATAAAGATACTGTCATGGTAACTGTTTGTCTCGAATACGTTTTGTTTCAAATTTCGACGCGATGAGAAAGAAACTGGGTACGCTGTTTCGTCAATAATCTTTCTCACGCACGTTGCAGTGCTGGAAATGAACCCGTCATAAAGACCGCGAGAGCTCTTTGGCTTTGACTCAGAGGGAGAACTTAATCAGACATATCGACCCTCTGGACATACGAGACTTTGGTTTGCCTCTGGTGCATTTGTATTCTCGCGTTTCTTCAGTCAACACTACCTTCCTGTCTGTCTATATATCTTTTGATGAATGCCATGATACAGGGTCTGCAGATCTTGGGAAGAGAGCTCGGTGTAGAATGACAAAAGGGGTATAACTATATTGCAGGTCAGAATCACGGATACCGACGTTATGACTACCATGGAACACAATGAGAGAAGACTAACCATGCAAAGTAATAGCTCCTTCTGTACCAATTTCACTCTGAAGGAACGATAATCTTCATTCTACATTTCACTGACCCTGGCATGTGGCGTCAGATATGACATGGCCATGAAATGAGAATCTTCAACTCACACAGTTGCATACGGAGACCTACCCTCAGTGCTTTGCTGGCATTGTAGATATGCCTGGCACATCCACGCAACACGAATACAAAAGAAAAATATAAAAGCCAGCCGTCCTCCAACGATCGTCTTCAGCATTACCTGATCCCATACCGCATGATTCACAAACAATGCGTTTCTCCTCTGCAATTGTCCTCGCCGTCATTACTACTCTAGCATCATCAATCTCTGCCATGCCTCTTACCAGTGACACGGATAGCGCCGATCATTGTGCCAAGGCTTGCATTTTCGACTCGCAATGCGGCAGTAACTCATGCACTTTTAATCAATGCGTGAGTATCAGCATTTTTCTGGACTTGATAACACGACTCACCTGCATGGCAGACCTATTTCGTCTGCACAGTGAGTCAAATTTCTGCTTTCACATCGGTGCAGTATGACTGTTGACACTGACGCGCGAGTTACTAGTGATTTGCAGAGTTAATCAACGCGCATTAGGAAATTACATATCCACTTACATACAGCTCTTCGCATATCAGAGTTAGCGCGAAATTTTCGTGAAATACAGTGGATGTTAGACAGATGGGACGTGCGAGGACACATGAATACTATCAAAGGGGCAGATCAGTCCACATCGCAGCCTCACACTGTTGGTGTGACCCAGACGGGCTCGAAGATCAGATATAAGTATGTATGCGTGTGATGGACCTGATAAAAGGTTGAAAACACACCTAGGTCCTGTATACCATACAGCCCCCTACTCCAATAGTTGATTTAAGATTCATGATGCTCACGATGTGATTGGAAAACACGGCTTGAAACAGGTTTTCCGCTCATATATTGCATGCCTGCCTAGGCCCTAGATATTGTCGAGTGTTGTTGAAAGGTTGTCCCTGGCAAAATAAGATGATTGTTTCGGCAAGCCAAGTACACGTTCGATGATATCGATAAGGAATGGGACAAAATTCTAAAAGGGTTAAGCTAACATCATGTAGAGAGTGAGTGTGATCTGGTGTGGGCACGATGAAATATAGCGCTTGCGAGGACATCCAGGAAATGGGAAGTCTGTGAGGTCTGTGCAGAGTCTGCAGACTCCGCGTCTGGGTCCAGGTCTGTGTCAAGTCTTTGTCAGCGTTACCCGGGGATTTTCCCGTCGTTCCGGAATCGAGACAAGCCGAAGGAACTTTGCTGAACCGTTTCGTTCGAGAATGGTAAGCATTCTATCATTGAGTTGAATTTGATACTCAAAGGCTGTCACGAACGCTCGTGATATGTGTGAGCATTCCTCCCTAGAATTAATGTCATGGTACCGAGCTGCCGACTGAAAGTGTCCTCTTCTTCCATACCATCGCCGACTTTGATTGAGTTTTTCGCTCGTAAATCACTCAATCACCCTCTAACTACATGCGCACACCCGGTCCGGCTACACTCTGATTATTAGGTGGGAGTCGATCACAGGTGCAGTGGTGACGAGTTACGCCCTTTATAGATGACTTTCTAAAAACACTTTATCGTAGGCTACAAGTGGACTATGCTATAGAGACAGAAAGGGAGTGCAGGGACGTGTCAAGGGATCACCAGTACTATGCATTTAGTACCGGCCGAGTCGACTACTAATGAACCTTAACCGATAGTAAGATCTGCTGGCACAACAAGAATTTCATTGAGCAGTGAGCACACAAAAGCCAGCCATCTTCCTACTATCTTCCTCGGAATTTTCTAATCTCACCCACATCACAAGCAATGCATTTCTCCTTTGCAACTGTGCTCGCCGTCATTGCTTTAGCATCATCAATCTCTGCCATGCCCGCTGACGCGGCTGGCACCGGTACATGTCCTGAATATTGTAACGTTAACTCGGATTGTGACATATGCGACAAAAAACAATGCGTGAGTATCAATATTTTTCCTGTATTTGATAAGATGAACTCACCTGCATAACAGAACAAAATTTTCTTCTTCTGTTCCCGGGTGAGTCATGTTTCTGCCTTCAAATCACTGCAGTATGGGTATTGGCACTGACGCCGTTGACGTGCGAATTATTAGTGATTTGTCTAGTTGATCAACGCACCGTCAAGACAAGCATCGATAGAGTTCGTGTAATTTTCGGACGATTGGGCAATAAGCTTCGGATTGATACCACTTTAAAACAGTTTTATTTATTAAGGTGTAGCTTTGGGAGTGAGTAGCCTTGAATAAATGTCGAACAACTTTATCATGGGGTGGAATTGAAGGAAAACGGAAAGATGGGACCTATATCACATCCTAACTCACAATGCGTTTCTCCTCTACAATTGTCCTTTTTTGCCATGTGAGTCGTGTCCGTGTTTCTGCTTTCACAATGGGTAACGACACTCACGTGCCAAGTCCCGACTCTCATATT